TAGAATAGAGAGTAGTTCATCTTAGAGTATTCTAGAGAGAAAACTTGTAGATTTCATCTTTTGGGTTGAGACTTTGAAGGCATATTGCCTCATAATTCATCCTTTGGATTTAAGATTATATTCTTAATAGTAATATATCTTATCCTATCTTCTTTCTCTAGCTTTATATTGCATGAATTGTGGGTGTAATTTCTATTGAAATTGGGGTTTTGGGCTAGATATAGACAATTCCTTTGGATCTTTAATTTCTCATTTTGTTGCTTCTGTATTTGATTATATTCTTTTATTAATGAAATGGATTTAATCCAATTTTCATATTTGCATTTATGATTTGAGAGTGCACTCTCAAATCTAGCTTCTGATCTTTATGGGTTGCTCGAAAAAGAATTTGTGAAGTGGAGAATTAGATTGATAATTAGATATTAGCCTTTAATCTTGAGTTTGTTCGAAAGAAAGATTTAAGTTTTCATTATTGAATGCAAGGCCTGCTCGAAAGAGAGTTCTAAGTTAAGGTAGTAGGTGCTTTGTTGAATAACATGATTGAAACCGAAAGGGGATTTCATGATATACCACAATGAGATCAAAAGAAGAATTTTGTTGTTAAGGATGACCTACCCTACCTATGATTGAATTAGCATATATTGAGATTGCAACAGATCTCTTAATGAGTATTGAGTTCCAAATTATCCAATTCCCAACTATCCCTTGTTTGATTAGACCTTTGCCAAATCTTAATGTTGTTACTAAAACCAATATCTTTTGGATACTTGAGTATTATTAAGTGTAGATTCAAACCAGTAACTTGTGATTTTTTCTTTTCAATTGCTGACAAATTGTTCCTTATAGGATTTGATCCCGACTCTCTTGTTGGTTATTTTTATTGCTAACAACTTCTTACTCTTTAACTTATTTTGATTGTAGTTTGAGCGTTATCAAAAATGGTGTTGTTCCCGGGGAAAAATTAGGTGTATTGAATTGATTTAGGATTTATAGTTTACTTGTTTCTATCTAATTGTGAATAGTTGTTTTTACTTTCTTTCTTCTTTGCTTCTATGGCTTCTTGTGATAACAATAAATTTGTTAGGGGTTGTAAGACCTATGAGGATAGCCCATGTCCTTGTTCTGAGGAAGAACTGGTTGAGATGATCATGATGAGAAGTTGGGTGTATGCAAACCGAACCAAGCAAAACATTCCAAGATTCCGGAATCACTCACTTGGGAATGATTATTAAAGTCAATGCTCAAATGGCCTAGTGAGCTTCTTACTCTTTCCCAATGCACCAAACGAAAAAATGATTTGAAGTTAGGTAAGAAATTCAAGTCTTCGAAGTGGAGAGATCGAGTGAAACTCTTGATGCGCTCATGTATACCCTATGCTCTTCGGAGAGAAATTAGTCTAAAATGGGGAGAAGTTTCATTTCCTTGAAATGGAAAGACAAGGGGTGATGCATCCAGTGTCACACCGTAACGTTAAATTGTGCGATTGATGGGAGGCAACCCATCGGTATCCAAATAAGTTTATTTCTTAGTTTAATTTCAAGTTTTTGATTATTAGAATAGCTTAGGATTTTTGTTTTTGACAAACCCTCATAGTTCCACAGTTTGTGGTGGTTGTTTTGACAAGTTTAGAAGCATAAAAAAGATTGGGATTGAAGTTTGGGGGTTAAAACACCTTCAAAATAGTAGTTGAAACACTTTTGGAACACTTTGGTTCACCAAAGTTGATTGGGCAGATCGCCTAATTGACCATGCAGTCACTCAAATTGACAGTAGCATCAGCAGGTCTGAAAGTAATCTATTCATCACGATCGTGAGAGCCTATGACCACTGATAACACTCAAGCTATCCTAAAAATAAGTAAGAGAATAACTGGTCGTAGTCAATAAAAATACCTAACTAAGATTCAAGATCTTATCCTTAAACCACTCCTTGTGAGTTTCAACCCCGAGTCTTTGTTGGGTGTTTATATTGCTCTTACTATTCTAATTATCTTTTAGGGTAATTTGAGCATTATAAAAATAGCGCTACTATCAGGATGTGGTAGCTAAGAATTCAATTTATGAAGTTAGTATGTAAACTTGTTTAGTTGTAGTAGATTGTTGCTTTGTGTTGTTGGTTTCCCTATTTACAGGTAGAAACATGAGTGAAAATGGTAATGACGATGCTAGCCACTACGAGGAAAATGATCAGATGTGTGACTTGAACTACATGCATTGAATGTTGTTGAGACCAATATAATGGAGCTATCCAGTTACCTCCTACTACTGGGAAAGGAATGTTCCATGTAACCAGAACAATGTTACAATTACTCCAAATGAGAGAAATTGTTAGGGGGGTCTAGCTCATGAAGATTCTCATGAACATCTTTAAAAAAAAATGGATATTTCTGTGTCATTCGTCTTCAAGAACATCTCACAAGAATCTATTAGACTGAGATTATTTCCATTCTCCTTAAGGGGGAAACTACTAGATGGTTGGCTTTATTACCAAATGATTCTATCACTTCTTGGGAGCCGTTAGCTTCACCCATTAAAGAGAAAGGGAATAAGCTCAAATTTACGGACTATTGAGAGATATTCCTGAACATAAATTGTCCACATACTTCTATAAAATTTCTAAAGTGTTCATTGGGATCCTCATGAGCTAGGCCCCCAAAATTTCCTTTCAGTTGGAGCAATTGTGGCATGGTTCCGGTTATGTGAAACACAGTCCTCCCGGCTGTGGGAGGTATCCAGATGGCTCCCCTCATTTGAAAATTATTCATATGCATATCATTCAAATCACTCGTGTTGTCGTTTTGACCATAGTGACTATCGTTTTCACTATCATGGTTACTCATTGTATTAGACCTACAAATCAGCCAACAATAACACAAACAACAATCTACTACAACTAAACTAATTTCTCAAATGGAATTCTCAACCACCATTTCCCGACAGCGGCGACATTTTGATTACGCTCAAATGTCCTCTTTAGAACCAATTAAAAGGAATTGAGGTCATAGTCTATAAAAATCCAACGAAGAGTCGGGGTCGAATCCCACAAGGAATGGTATATCGTAGAGAATTCTTATCAAGAAATATAGATTGTAAAATTACTCATTTGTAATAGTAAGAACAAGTGGATGGATAATTCCACCAATTTAACAAAAAGATTTGGTTAAAAACTATCACAATTAAACTAGAATTATGGAAATCTCAAGAATTAACAAGCAATCTAGGGGTGCAGGGATTGGAAATCAATGTCACATATGGGTAATTATGTTGCTCTATAGTGATGAACATTCATGAATAGTCTAAGTCATCTTCAATGACATTAATCTTCTTTCGATCTAATTGAATCCTTGCATAGAATCTCCTTTCAATCTCATCTATATGTCAATCTAGAAAACACAATACCTTACTCTATTCTCTCTTTCGATGCAGAAATAGGGAAAATATATTCAATCCATAACCTCTATTTTCAAGCAAGTTACAAACATCAAACCTAAATTGCTAGTATTGAACTAATTACCCATTTCAATCAATCTCTTTCGAGCATCGACCAGAGATTAGAAGTGGGAATTAGGTTTGCAGCCTTAACCTATAAATTAATCACATGCTAATTAGCACAAATTCATGTATGAACAACAACAAAATAGATCATAACACAATACCCACTATATTAAATCAACATCCAACCCCATAATTGCACCCCTTAGAGCTTGGGGTTTTATCCACCCATCACAAAAAGGAAAGAAATTATACCTTTCTTGAAAGCATCCATGGGTAGCATGACATTAAGCAATTACTAACAAACCCACTTTGGATTCAACTTCAATTTGTCAAATTCAAGAGCAAAGTTGAAAAACCCCAAAAGCTAGAAAGTGTTCTTCACAAAGTACAAGTGTTTCTCTCAAAACTCAAAATATTTCACACTCTTTCTAATCTACAGAACTCTCTTTATTTATCTCTCATTTGAGATATTTATAGTTTCACAAATTTGGCCCAAAAACTAAATACGTGTCTCATTCGGCGACATTAGTCGAGCTCGCTAAGCTCGTTCGGCTAATCGCCTCTTGTGCTTCAGCTCACCTTCTCATGCTCTAGGCTTCAGGTGTTTGAACCTCAGCCAGCAAACTCATTTGAGTCTACCTTTCACATTCGGTGAATCATCGAGTACCACCTTGGTTCACCTTTCGAGCATTCAGTTTTTCTCCTTGCATTGTCATTTTTGGCAATGATCGACAAGGTTGCCTTTCTCATTCGGTGCACCACCTTCTCTTTTCGAGTTCGCCAACCTGTCTCGATAGACACAAGTATTGTGCACTATCATTTTGTGTGAGGTAATAATCACTAGGCGATCCGCATTTCTCGTTTTTCAATCAACAATGTATAGTTTGCATTTTTTTGCATTTTTGGCCATTATTTCAAATATCAAACCTTGCCTTGTCCATTTGTCCTCATTTCTGCAATTAATCAACATATCATCATAATAGGACAAATTAAGGCATTGAGGACTTCTGAAGTTTATTTGTTTGGAACAAACTTTTGAAGTCCACTGCTTGATTGGAACGAAATTTTCATTTGAATTATTTATTAAAATGTAATATAAATTTATTTTCTTCTCTTCAAATTATACATGTACGACGTACCTATGGAGAAACTAGTAATTTTTTAAATCGGTTTATTTGTATAGTCAATTTGGTTCGATTCTTTTGGTTATTTAACCAAAACCAAACATGATTATATTGATTTCTAAAATTAAAACCAAATAAAAAAAGTATCAAATTTTTTCCTTCAATTTGATTCGATTTTCGACTCCGTGAACACCTCTACCCCTACCTATTTGTATAGAAGTTTGGGAGCCTTTTGTGAAAAGAAAAAAAAAACACACATTTTATTGCAAGTACCCTACTTTTTGGTATTACAAGAGTTTCCACACATCACTGAATTCATTAACCTAATAAAAAAGCAGAAGGAAGTTAAGCTGCTGGGTACATTCTCTCTTCATGGCTACATGAGCACAAAATTCATTTGAATTCAATCCGAACTCCAGTTCCACTGCTGGCGGATACATAATACATTGGGATTGCAACAGATACCAGGCACTCATTCTCGTCCTATTACATCGTACATAATTAAATCTGCTGCTAAGCAGCACAGAGGTATAAAAAGTTGAATAAAGATTGAAAAACATCCAAGAAATATGAGGAAACCTAGGCTGCACCACAAGTAGGAAGTAGAATGCACAAAAAAAAGAGCAGTAAGCACCTCCATTCAATAGCTGCAACCGCAGAAAAGCAAAAGGAAGCAACACTGGTGCACAAACTTAACCCCCTTCCTCAGAACTCGTGCAATCTTTTCACCACATGCAATTAAACTGCATTGGTCATGCTAACCCAAGAATAAAGATAGATGACTTGTCGATTCTTGTCAGTGATATGTTTGGCAAAAATGATTGTGCTTCACATTTAGGTTCCTTGGTAGTATGACGATTAGACTAAAGACATTGAACCAAGGACGAGCTACCAAGACCCTATGAGATATGGGTCACCAACTGACAACTCTAACCTGATTTTGATTTCCTCTGTAAGAATGACCGTCTTGTTGAAAGAGGAACTACAATCTCAAAGACATTCTGGAGCACTCCTTTATCGTAAATGTTATTCTTAACAACCTCCACTTCTTCAAGACGGGACCTTTGGAAGAAGGCTTTCCATTTGCTCACAGGGTGCTTCTTTTCATGGTTCAATTCAGCTAAACTTGCTTTGAGTGCTGCTGCACTTGCCTTTGCTTCATTAACCTTCCTCTTCCAGCTTAAGTACTCTTGCCATTTGAAAGTCTGCAGTTCACACGAGCAACATTTAGCTTTAGATGTGAGCTAAGAGCAAGCTGTTATTTCAACTTCTAAAATTTAATAGTTAAGCTGAATCAATAAGGTATATGATTATGATATACTAATGCATTTCTACGATTAGGACATTCTAATGCATTTTTTATCACTATCTTGTGTCCCTTTCTTCTTTACTTTACTTTTTCTTTGCATAGTCAAATTTAAAAAAATAAAGGAGAGACTCCTATCACCCTAAAAGAGAATGCTGCAAGCTTCTGTCCCAAGACTTCTTAGCAAAAGAATCCAAAATGAATGAACTCAGGTTTTCAAGTTAAATATTTTAGTCGATCGATCCAAATATTGTTTTACAAACCTGATCACACTTATAAGAGTAGATGTTTTTTTTCTTCTTTGCAAAATATTTTGAGATCTAGTCAACTCCAACTGGCCCAAATTTTGTTCAATGATAGATCAAAAGGCATTTTTCATTTTAGGTGTAAGGTCCAAGAAAGTAATGTAATAGTAAAAAATTACAAGTGTTCTATTATTAGACATGTGTGTTCCATAAGCTCACTTCCAAAGAAAATGCAGGTACTAAATAGAAAATGAACTACCTCATTTGTTGTGGTATTTGTGACACACAGTTTGGTGTGGTATGCAAGGAAACCGGCCAGTAGCATAGAAATTATAGCCAGAAATACCATGATAAGTATTTGAGTGTTGTATGAATCCAACAACCACTGATCCAAAGCAGAAGATCATCATTACGAAACAAACCATAAGCACAAATACAAATATGAATGTATTAAGAGAACTGGGAAAGGGGAAAATCTTATTTTTAAGAAAACAAGAAAAAGGTGTAAGCATCCTTAGTTGGATCATAGGAGTCTTTGTTGGCAAAATTTAAATTTCCAGGGGTGTCTGCAGGGGGGCAATTGATGGTCTGTGATGAACCATGCCCCCTTGCAAGTGTGAATCGTTGTTGGAAAAAGACATTGAAGACAGAGCTTCATTATGGGTACAATCAATTGTGCTCAAGCTCAGCAGGTTCTTTTGAGCTGCCTTTGAGAGATGCGATAAGGTTGCCTTCGAGCTTCTTATGAAGATTGATCAAAAGAGGATGCTGACTAATCAGAAGGAGATGCCAAAAAGAAAAAACATTACTGGAACAATTCAGAAAAAAGTTAGAAATTTAGTTTTCATATGAACTCCAAGGATGGTGACCGAGGAACAGGGGGAGGATAACGGCTTCTTCTTGTCAACGAAGATCAAGATATATACTTGGAATGTCAAGGGGGTGAACAATGTGACTAAAAGGAGTCTTGTCAGAAGTCTAATACAGCAATGGGGGGTGGATGACAATATCATATAGAAACTAAATTGGAGGGGACAGATTCACATCTGCTAAAACAACTCTGGTTCAACAGGTAGCTGGGTGAGTTACATCTAGTTGCTGTAGGGAGTAGTCGGGGATAGTAATAATGTGGGATGGGAGATATTGGAAGGGTGAGCTGGTGGATGTGGCTGGTCAATTGATCACCAGAAAGTTTTGAAGTTGTTAATCAAAATCTAAACTGGTTTCTAAGTTCATTTTATGCTAACTGCAACAAAGTGAAGAAAAGAACTATGGAGGGATCTGTCTGCTTTAAGGTGCATCTGTACAGGGCCCTGGGTGATTTGTGGTGACTTCAATGTCACAAGATACCTCTCAAAGAGATCATCAGGACACAGACTTACAGAAGCTATGTCTGAATTTTCTGATTGGATCAATGATATGGAGTAATTTGATCCCCCTTTATTTGGAGGATCCTTTTCCTGGAGAAGAGGGGACAGCCATTTGACTGCTTCTAGATCGGACAGATTCCTATACACTCATCAATGGGATGAAGTCTTCACTCAGATCAGGCAAAGTACCCTTCCAAGGCTCGTGAGACCTCAATCCCATTATGCTAACCTGTGGTGAGTTAAATTTGAGGAAATCTTACTTCAATTTGAGCAAAGGTGGATGCAAATCGAGGGTTTTCTGGACAAGGTAAGGGAATGGTGGTCTTGCTTCTCAGTTAATGAGACCCCATCCTTTATCCTAGCCTCAAAACTGAAATTGTTAAAAGAGAAGTTGAAGCAATGGGGACTGGAAAATAAGGTGGACTGGAGACAGAGAATGAAGGATGTTCTGAAATCAGTTAGCTAGTCTGGGGGAAATTTAGGATCAGAGAACTCTCATCGAAGATAAATTATTACAAAGAGTCCAACTTTCTAAGGAATATGAGGATGTGTCCAGAAATGAAGAAATAGTTTGGAGGCAAAGGTCTACGGTTCAATGGCTTAAGCAGGGGACAAGAACACCAAATATTTCCACAGAAAGGCCACAGCACACAAAAGATACAATATCGACAGGTTGAAACAAAAGGAGTTGAGGTGACTGATCCTGAAGAGATGAGAAGGGAAATTGTCAGTTTCTATCAAAAATTGTATAAACTATAAAGAAACAGAACAATGGAGGACAGAACTCAACCTACATGGATCTGGTAATATCAACTTAGAGGAGAAAGTTTGGAATTAATGACAATTTGAGGAAGAGGAGGTATTATAGGGGATCAAGTTGCGTACAAGTGACAAGGCCCTGGTCCTGATGGCTTCCCCATGAGTTTCAAACAGAATTTCTGGGCATTAGTCAAGGAAGATATAATGAGCACCATCAAATGTTTCTATGATAACCAAGTTTTTGAGAAAAGCTTGAATGCTACATATGTTGCTCTTATCCCAAAAAAGACAAGTTGAATTCAGGGATTACAGACCTATAAGTTTGATAGGTGAAGTCTACAAGATATTAGCTAAGCTTTTGGTTAAAAGGCTGAAGAGAGTGATTAACAAATTGGTCAACAAACACCAAATGACTTCCATAAAAGGTAGACAGATCATGGATGTTGCCCTCATAACCAGTGAGTTCATGGACACTAGAATAAAGGGGATACCCCTGGGCCCTGGCATCATGTAAACTAGATACTGAGAAGGCTTATGACCATGTCAATTGGGACTTCCTTCTCAATATTCTTCATCAGATGAGCTTTGGCGAGAGATGGTTTGAAATGGATAAGAGACTGCATTAAAACTGCCAGGTATTCTATTTTGATAAATGAGGAATCTGCTGGCTTTTTCCTCTCAGAGAGAGATCTTAGACAGGGAGATCCCTTATCTCCATTCCTATTCATCTTAGCCATGGCAGGCTTTGACAGCATGATGAGAATGTCCATTCAGAATACCTTGCTGAAGGGTTTTAAAATAGGCAGTCACTCAGGGGTGGATATGCAAATATGTCATTTACACTGATGATACATTCATTTTTTTGTAAAGCCAATGATTAACTACTCAAGACTATCAAGATACATTTAGTGTTTTTGAGGCAATTTCTGGGTTATCTGTAAATTGGAAGAAAAGTTGTGTTTATCCTTTTAAAGAAGTGCCCCAGATACAGAGACCAGCAAAGATTTTGGGTTGTAGAATTGAGAAACTTCTAGTAGTGTACCTTAGTATTCCATTGGGGAACAAACACAAAGAGCTGGTGATCTGGGATAGTATCATTGAGAAAACAGAAGGGAAACTAGCTAATTGGAAGGCACAGTACCTTTCTTTGGGAGGAAGAACCATCCTGATAAATTCTGTCCTATACTTTTTGCCAACCTACCATGTCTCTCTTCCCTATGCCTGCGAAGGTTGAAAAAAGACTAGACAAGCTAAGGAGGGATTTCATATGGCTGGGAAATAAAGAGGGTAAAGGCATGAATCTGGTCTAATGGAAAACTGCACAACTGAGTAGAAGTTTTGGTGGTCTTGGTATCAGAAACCTGGGGTTGCAAAGCAAATATCTACTAACCAAGTGGTCATATGGAGATTTGGCAATGAGGAACAACCCTGTGGAGAGAAGTGATTGTCAGCAAATATGGGTAGAATAGGCATTGGTGCTCCAATACAGTCAATAGTAACTATGGCGTCTCTGTCTGGAGAACAATTAGGAACTTGTGGAACCAGTTGGTCAGAGATATTACTTTCAAGGTGGGCAATGGTAGCAAGATTCAGTTCTGGAAAGAGCTTTGTATTGGTCAGGAGCCTTTGTTGCTCTCCTATCTTGATCTGTTTACCCCTAGTACCAATAAAGAAGAATGGTAAATGAAGTATGGTCTCCTCAAGGATGGAATCTGAGTTTTAGAAGACACTTCAATGATCGGGAAATAAGTAGAGTAGTTGGTATATTGTAGGATCTTAATAGCTTTAAGGGCACAAACATGGAAGCAGATTTAGTAAGATGGAACCACAAGTGCACAACAGTGATGGAAGCTTTCAGTTAACAGGCTATACAGTAGCAAAATGCAGGAAGTACCAGGGAGAATAGATGGCCCTTGGGGGAAGACTTGGAAGAACAAAGTACTAGTTAAGGTAAGATGTTTTACCTGGCTGGTTGCCAGAAGGGCCTGTCTCACTCATGAAAAGCTCCAAAGGAGAAGTTCTCAGATAGCCTCATGGTGTTCTCTATGTAATTAAACTAATAGCGATTTGTTCTTACACTGTAAAGTTACTGCTCAGCTATGGTCTCTGTTCTTGGACCTGACACAAACTAGATGGACAATGCCAGAACACACAGTTAACCTCCGGAGTTGTTGGATCAGGAGAGAGGGGAGCAAAAGTGAGAAGGGAATATGATTCCATCCTGTAAATGGTGGTCAATTTGGAGAGAAAGAAACAAGAGGTGCTTTGAGATTACTGCTGAATTTGTTCAGAAAATCCACTGGAAAAGAATTTCCTATTTTTTGGTGTAAAGAGGAGGGTGTGGAGGACGCATACCAGGGTAGAAGGTTAGTAGGTAGTGGAAGGTGGTTGTGCTTTTCGAGGGTTTAGGCTTGTTGATGTTTGTCGTTGTACTAGCCGTATTATTGTAGTTCTTGTTTTTAATATCAATCACCGTCTGTTGTTTACTGTGTTGCTATTATCGCATTATTCCTTTCTTGTATCCTTTGCCCTGCTTCCCTTGTTAGTCTCTATGTTTTTTCTACACTGTTTTCTTCTTCTTTGTACTTGAATTTGATGCATTTGAGCCGAGGGTCTGCCGCAAACAGCCTCTCTACCTTCATGAGGTAGTGGTAAGGTTTGAGTATACTTTAACCTCCCCAAACCCCCTTGTGGGATTACACTGGGTATGTTGTTATTGTTGTTGTTGTGTAAAGAGGAGGGTATAGAGGATGCTGGACAGACTTAGAATTTATAAGATCCTTATAGTTTTTGCTACCCAGTTTTTGTGTAGCAAGTAGTTGTTCAGTTTGATTCAGTTGTAAATTTCTTTTGATGGGAGCCAACATATCCTTAATGCTGAAGAATACAACATTTCTTTTATCAAAAAATAAAAACAGGAAACGGAAAAAATAGCAAAGAAAGAAAATTAAAGAATAAGAAACTAAATAATGGAAAAATATATTAATAATAAATAATTAAGTGTAATTAGTTTACAATAAATTGGAAGACGACACATGTATAATTTAATTGGTTTAATTCTTTTTCACTTTTCTCACGCCTCTAGAAAGGTGATGGCACATTCTTTGCCACGTCAGCTCTCAGTCTTTTTTTAATTTCACTTCAAACAAGGATAAAGGGGTAATAGGTCGCCCATAAGGTAAAGGTGTGTAATGACGGCTGTGATATTTTTACTTTTTAGACGTAGGGCTGGGAAAGTGGGGGTTTTACCTGTTTTTTCAAGAGGTCACCTATTATGGACTCTCTATATCTTTAGATGAAGAACAATCCATCCCACCAAAGAAGGTAATCTTAGTGTACTGACCCCTAATTGAATTGTTTTAGATTCAGAAGTGGAAGAAATTGCTTTATCAACTAATAGTGGTCAAATTGGCATATTACCAAACTCGAACGCTCCATGCCTTCTTACGCACGTGGTCTTGGGCTCATCTCTTTCGGCTATGCGCACTTGGTAATATCCACATTCAACTATATGTCCGACATTCATGCATAAAGGTACTCCTAATGGGTTAAAGACCATATCAATAGATCTTCTATTATGTAAATAAGGCATATCTTGTGTAGGCAAAAATTTGGAAATGATACCTTTATTTCCTATCTTCTAGATACTTTATCGCCTACTTTGATTTCACGTTTCTGTGAAATATATACACGAATACATCTCGATTCAGAAAGATAAGGGCCCAAAAGTCTAAATAGGGGGGATACAAATTCCTTATCTCAATCGTCATCTCAATGTGATACAACCATTCCAATTTTAGCTGGGAAAGAACGGTGTAGTCCATCCGAACCGTCCAATGAAGAATAAGAGGAGAGAGAAAAGCACCAATGGCGCGCAAAGCGCATGCAGAACAGGCACGAAGAATAAGAAATATGCAGTAGAAGCAGCCGAGCTCATTCCCTTCGCTTGCGGGGTCCAAAGCAATGCTATCTTTCATGGAAAAATCAAGGATTTGGGGTTTCTTGCTATGCTACAACACTAAATAAATCCATTTTGATTAGCCAATATATGAATAAAAAGACAGATCCATCCATCTATGATATCTGATTTAGATTTGATATCTAAAAGAGAATCAATCTCATTCAACCTTTGATTGGAATCCGTTTGAAAGGATCTTACATTGTAAAGGCGATATGATTCCAAACCTCCATTGCAAGCTCACTCTTGAAATATACATAGTAAACCACTTTAAACTCGCAGTTAGTCTTGGCCCGACTATGTCCGAGGGATGTCCTTTTAATGCTTATTTCACTTCTTTTTTTCTTTTTCTCCTATTGCTAATGGAACTTTGGTTCCAGTAACCTCCTGAACCTTATTCATTACATCAACCCTTCTCCAACAAGGGGAAGATAGGAGGTAAAGGTAAGGTTGCGTACACATCACCCTCCCATGACCCCACTTATAGAATTCACATGATATATTCTTGTTGGTATATATGAAGGACTAAAATGATCACTTTTTCCATATATTAAGGACTATTTCGACTACATGGTATATATGAGGGACTAAAATAGCCCAACCCACATACATTAAAGACCATTTTGATCATTTTCTCAAGAGGAGAGAATAGAGTACTTTATTTGAAATTTATGAAGATAGAGTTGGAAAATAGGGTTGTAGCACTTCTCTAAATTTGGAATCCAACTCGAACTTGGATTTGGAAATTTTAGTTCATCAAACACTGATTTTCAAATAAAGTGAAAATTATTCCAAAAAGAAATGAATAATTCTCATGGCCAAACAGGTTTATGGAGATGTTCCTCTCCAAATCATTCCGTCCACTTCACCGTAATATACATGACTACAGAGCCTCATAAAGAATGTCCCTACCTCCTCAAATTCCCAGCCACAGAGGGGTCTCCTCGAGGAAATCTCTGATGACGGTGACGACCTGTATCTTCCATAACTCTTGGCTGCCATGACATCCTATCCCCTTTCTACATTAAAAACTATCGCATAAAGTTGTCTTTCTGCATTTTATCACTGCATCCATTTATAGAGCCAATACCATATTTTGTTCCCCTTCACAACGAAAAGGCAATAAATATTGAGAAGTATTATTTCTCCTTCATTAAGCCTCTCCACTTACTCAACCCATAGAAGGCCTTCACATTCTTTGGGAACCAACAAAATTGGTTGTTGCCTTACTTCACTTAATCACCTTTCTGCACATGTCCCCTTCTCTGTTAGCATATCTCTATACTCTATAGCCACTTCCCTAACAATGAGATTGACTATCCCACTGTTCGAATGCACGACCATTATTGATAGGAGTTGAGAATTTCTCCCGACTAACCAAATGAAACTTCTTGTTTCCATCCCATCCCACAGGAAATAGCTCATCAATATCTCAAGCCTCTGCTCTGGAAATCGAAGTAGGATTGGAGAACAAGGAGATAAAGAAGGTTGAGATGCTTGATGGCATTGCCTTTATCAAGGACTCACATATTAATTATTTATTAATGTTTCCAAAACAGATGAAAATTTGACAACACATAAACTCACATGCAACAGGGGAAGAGATAGATATAATCAGGCAGAATCCAAAAGGTGGACCTCCACTTACCACTGCAACATGTGGAGCCAAACTACTGAATGATTTCTCGAAGCCATAATAAACTGCATCAACAGAGGAAGACAACTATTACTTTGGGTCTAACATGCAATTGGGCTCCAATAACATTTAAAGGAGTAGTCAATGCACCAGTAAGAATATCTATAACCCGTAGTTCTTTCAGTCTGCCAGCTAGCACAAGTGCAATAGCAACTGCCCCATATAAACAGAGAAGAAAATGCCTGCAGATGCATGTCCAAAATAACAGGAAAGGTAACGTAAGAATCTTATCAGCATGAGCATCAGTGTATAGTACAAAATCTTTTAGAATTATGCTGAATCTTCTGTTATTCACATACATATTTTTCACAAGCATGTGACGTGAAAACAAATGAAGGTAGTGTCAATATTAAATACATGAAAAATAAGAATTTTCTCTAATAAGGTCAGATTGACCGAGCTTTTATGACGACTTATGCCTCGTATTTTCTTCAACAATAGCAAAGAGTTTAAAGTAACCAAGAGTGTGGCTTAACCATCAATGAAGTGGGTATACATTACGGGAGAATAGAGTTCAAATTCCAAGAGAGACAGAGAAAAGTGCAAGGTGATTTCTTCCTATTTGCCTAACTTGAGTTACCCCATACCTGTGATAGTGGGAGGTAGCAGACACCCCATGGAATAATCAAGGTATGCACAAGCTTGTCGGACACTACCATTATTAAAAATAAAATATATAATATAAAAATAATAATAGGACAACAACATTATATTTTTATTTTTTTGATAACCGAGAAATCCGTCTTTGACCCGCCCTTTGGACCAATCACAGCCTTCTAAACTCGGTGGATAATGGGCCCGCCCCTCTACCCTTCTCCACTTAAATACCGGGCTTCGCTTTGCATGGTGTGGGGTTTGAACCTGCAAACTAAGCCACAAATCCTCCACCTTTTGCCACTTGAGCTAGGCCTTGGGGCACATTATTAATAATAACAATAACAATGACAAAGAGTTTGAATAAGTTCCTAACTTAAAACAATGCTAGTAATGGAGTTTTCTATTTTTTCATTTATTTCTTTTTTGTATTGGAGGGTAAATTTTTGTGCAAGAGTAAGGTATTGTACAAATTCCAAAATTATGCAAAAATTAATAAGAATCATCAGCTGTGAAATAATCAATCATTTATGCTAGTAATGGAATCTTCTATTTCTATTTTCTTTTGCATTTGGGGGGAAGGTGAATATCTGTGCTAGTAAAGGTAACCTGTGAGTTCCAAAATTATGTAAATACTAACAAGACTCATCAGCTGAAAAGGGACAGCAATAATGAATATCCCCTATCAAGGGTATTTTCTCACGATGAATTGAAGATTGGTACCATTGATAAAAGGACGCTTCATGCCACACCTTTGATGAACTGCGCAGACCGGTAAAATGGGTTTCCAAAAAAAAAAAAAAGAAGAAGAGATAATCTGAAATCTCCTTTCAATCATCTAGCCGCTACTCTCCAATCAAAAGTACTTTGTAACATCTGAAGTTCCAACAACAACAGCATGCCCAGTGTAATCTCACATTCTACTCATGGTGACATCCTGATTTCTTCATTACTTCTTATGAGAGTAACATATCCTGTCCATATTGCCTATTTCAATTTATGGATGTGTTGCATTTTCCCAATTATTTCTCATACTTTTAACTGAAACCAACCCATTCCACATGGTCTAAGCATCTTTTTAATTCTACCATGTAGCACAAGGTTAAAACAACACAGTAGACTAGAAAACAATGGAAGAATAGTCCTCTTATTGCAACAGAAAGGCCACTGAGAGAGAGTGTTCGTGCAACGAAAGAGGCACTCCTTAGGTGACGGATAGGTCACAACTTCGAAGCATGAAAACAAACTCTTTGCTAAAATGCAAGGGAATGTGTGCAATACACGCCCACTCCCTACCCTGGCACTGGTGATAGCACTTTGTGATACCATCCAAAGTGGCATACCACTATTAAAGTTGATATTTTCAATAGAAAATCAAGAAGATGTTTATCATGGAAGGAAAACCCAATAACGACTCAAGGATTGTAGGGATAAGTGGAAGGAAAACCCAATAACAATCCCAAGGATTGTGGAGAAGAATGGTCTAAGTGATGCATATATTTCATGGTTCTAATCCAAGCACAAGAGGAAAAAGATTTTTTTTAATTTTTCGAAAAATTGGGGGTAGGGAAAGGGGAAATGGGAAGGGGATTACAATGTGGGGAATCGAACCCTCACCAACAAGGTGGGAGTTCAGGTAGACAACCAACTTAACTACTAAGATTCCCAAGAGGAAGGCGATTGTGGCTCATAGCAACCCCCAAATTGATGAAAAGAAAAGCCCACCAAGGAGCTGAAATTCTGCCCATAAATGGGCTGCAATTCAAGCTCAAAAGAAAGCTGTTTAGAGACTGAAAATCAAGCAGAAGAGGAGGTTAAACTCACGAGAGATTCAAGCCTAAAAGGGGCAGCATAGCCGTGTATTTCTTGGTAGTATTTGGTAACTTTTCCTTATTTTTTATTAGCTAGTTTTGGATGTCTTTTTACAAAGTTTCCTAGTTAGGGTTTTCTATTTATTATTTCAATAAAAGCCGGACTTGAATCTCATGCTACTTGGGATAGGTTTTTCCTAGATATAGATGAATTTTGTTATTTTTTCAAAAGACATGATTAATATTATTTGAGAGGATTCTTTTCTTGCAACTTTATGTGGGGTGACTATTGATTCATCTTACAACCTTATAAGAACAATTATTTAACAGGTAAGACTAATTGTCTTAATTCTCAACTTGATGTCTTTAGTTTCCATTAAAGTAAGTTAAAGAAGGTAATTAGTCTCATACTAATTGTTGTCTCTATTTTCTTCGAAATAGAGGTCTAGATCACTTTTGATCTAAGTTCTTGAATTGAATCTATTAGTATCATAATAAGTTTTAATCTGCTAATTGTAAATACTAAGATCAATTAGGGTTCTTAGCCCTTTATCTTGAAATTTGGGGATTTTATTCTTGATTTCACATATCATTCATTTCTTGTTTTTAATCTTTGTATTTTCGCTTCTGCGCTATTTTCTTGTATATTCAAGTAAAAAACACAATTTTTATCACTTTGTGTAAAAGATAAGACCTTTGGAAGAAAGACCAATAAGTAATCATTTTCTCACCAGAGAAGAAAAGCCATAAAGTATCTGCTGTTTTTCTCACCTATGCAATTATTCTGTCATATTGGAGAAACAGAATGAAAACCATTAGGACATATACAGTGAATATATGCTGATATAGAGTTAACATGTATGCGTATGAGAGAAAGAATGGAAAAAGGAAAAAAACACAAACCATCCATCCACAATGATGATCAAATCTAGCAACACAGCGATCACAAATGCTGCAGTGCTTTGACCTAGCAGGTCTGAGCAAGAAGTAGAAATAAAATTTGACTATCTAGTGTAGTAAATAAACTGGAGCTTTAGAGGTTTTAATTGAAAGAAACACTCACTTTGGGATCTTGCAGGTAGGACATTCTTTTTCTGAGAAAATAATATTGTCATAGGGATAAGCAGAAAGATAGTGTGAAACATTCCCAGCATTCACAGTTCCTGGGTCAGAAAAGCTAGTCAATAGAAAGAGGAGAATACCCCCACCAACTGCCAACAAGCTTATGTACCTGCAATTTTATGTAATTTCTAGAAAAATTCACGTACATATACCACAAAAATCAACAATCAAGTGACAAAAGAACTGATGCATATGAGAATGTTTCAAAGCACAAGAATTCTATAATACCTGTGCACTTCACCTAGGTAATGCCCAGGAATGTACTTAAAGGCTGACTGCACAATTAAGTAGTAACTGGCTCCAATTATTCCCAAATATATGACCTGCGTTTAGTAACAGACAACTTTCAGATAAAGTTTCTATATTCATAAAAGAAGAAAAAGGGGCATGAAAATAGAGGACAGCAGACAAAACCAAAGACCAAAGAATGAAAACAAAAAGAACAAAGGAACTCTCATTGAGTCTCCTGCAAACTAGTTCCATTCCCAAGTGCCAAAGACAAACTAAATGCTGTAATTGTCATCACAAAGATTCACTTTGGAAGAAATTTTCATCATTTACACTTGAGTTTTTGGATAATAAAAGCAACTTTTGTATATTAATGGCACAAAATGGGATCTACTTTTCAAATTCTTAGAGCACTTCACATCATCTAATGCAATACAAGTAATTGATCGAAGTTGCGATTCCACATTTTTCCTACTGAATGTGTCCATAAAAGTGTATTATTATTCTGAGCACCAATTATTATAGTGCTCAAGTTGAGCTTACTCGCCAAAATATTTGAAGTTGCTACACTGTCAAATTAAGCCAAAAAGTTGTGGAACCTTTGCATCACCATTTTCAACATTATTGTACAGCATAGATTCTGATAAAGCAGTAACTAATTTGAAGATGAAAGAAGGCGAATTGAGAAGGAAAAATAACCTGGAGAGTAGGATTAGGACGATCACAACAATAGTACTCAACGCAGAAGAGTGCATTGGAACCTCTTTGACCAAACACAGCACCCACAAAGCGGCTGAAAATTCAAAATTTGAGCAAAATCCCATTTTAAATACTTATCAAAAATTACAAAAACGGTAGGGAGAAACAATTATATGCATTAATATAAATAAATAAATACCGGAAATAATCACAGGCACCAAAAGTGAGAAAAAAATGGATTTTTTGAATGAAAGTGCCTGCGAAAATAGGCCATTGGCCGCAGAGGAAAGAAATCAACACTAGCAGTGTCACCAGGCCGTGGATTACAAGAAGCCATTCCACCTCCATCTCAATTGTGCTCAAATTAGTTATGGGAATGGGAGCAGATCGTTGTAGACCTCTCCATTATTTCTTTGATTATGACTTTTAAAATTTTATATTATATTATTATAAAATCACCTAATTCAACACCAAATGTTATATTCAAGCCCTAATGCCCAATACAAGTTACATTCTTTTATCTCAATTTATATGCCTAAAATCTCGAAACTCAGGGTGAGTTTGATATAAAGGAAAATGTTTTAAAATTTTATATTATATTATTATAAAATCACCTAATTCAACATCAAATGTTATATACGAGCCCTAATGCCCAATACAAGTTACATTCTTTTGTCTCAATTTATATGCCTAAAATCTCGAGACTCAGGGTGAGTTTGATATAAAGGAAAATGTTTTCCAATTTTTTCAGGTTCGGTTGGATTAAATGTTTTGGAAAATATTTTCCAAATCAACTCATTTTTCTTAAATTTAAGGAAAATGACTTTCCTTAAAAAATTAAGGAAAACATTTTCCAAAACTTTCTTCCAACTTCAAATTACATTTTTTTTTATTGAAAAAATCAATTTATTTTGTTCATACCTTCAAACCAATCCCCCCCCCCCCCCAAATAATAATTTAAAGCTTGTTTTTTAAAAAAAAAAAAATTAACTTCAATTTTATATTTTTTTACCCCACCCCACCCCTACCCTCGACCCCTCATCCCCCCCCCCCCACCCCAAAAAAAAATTTAAGTTTATTTTTTAAAAATATTTTCAACTTAAAAATCTAATTTTTTTCACCCTCCCCCCGCTAGCCCCCTACTAGGCCCCACCCCCACCCCAAAAAAATAATTAAGTTTGTTTTTAAAAATTATTTTCAACTTCAAAATTTTATTTTTTCACCCCTACCCTCGACCCCACCCCCCTCCCCACCCCCAAAAAAAGTTAAGTTTATTTTTAAAAAATATTTTCAACTCCAATTTTTTATTTTTTCACCTCTACCCTCGACCTCCCCCCCCCCCACAACCCCGGCTAGCTCCCCCAAAAAAAAATTAAGTTTTTTCAAAAAAAATATATTTCAAAAATTATTTTCTACTCTCTAGTAAAAATTAAAGATAATTTCTCAAAAACATTTTTCATTCATAAATCAAACACTAAAAAAAAATTTCCGGAAATTATTTTCTACTCACCAACCAAACATGAAAAAATAAATCAAAAATCTACTTGTTTTCCAGGAAAACATTTTCCTTCATACCAAACACACCCTCAATAAAAAAAATCGAGTGTAACAAGGAAAATGATACACTCTATTAAACATGAGAAAATTGAATAAATGTGTCAAATAAGTTTTGGTTTTGTTTTTGTAACACTTTGATCAAGAAAGGGTCAAACCCACTTTAAAATGTAATTAAGTTAATTTGGGACCAAATTAATATTTTCAAAGCTTTCTAATCTTTTATAAAATACAAAAAAAAAAAAAAACTACATTTTTCAACTACTCTAATTCTAACCAAACCATTTTTTTTTAAAAAAAAAAAGTAAAAGAAAATAGGATTCAAAAGTTATAGTTCTTCTTTTGCTGCTCTCCAACGTTCTTCTCTTCTTCTTCTTTCTTAGAAATCCGATCATCAACAAATATTTTCATTGTCGTTCCTCCTCATCTCCGCCGCCACTCTTTCTTTCTGAACTGAATGGGTAAGTCATTTTTTAAAAAAGATTTTAGAATTTTTGAACAACACACTTTTGATTCCATGTTCTTTTCTTGGGTTAATGAAAATCTATAATACTTTTGCAAGTCCTTCCTCCTAACATTCTTTTCATGCAAATATCATTCACCCGGTGTTTTGCAATATAATCATTGGCCAGACGTGAAGCATATTTAGGTTATAATCGCCCGCCAACAACAAAACTCTTTGATTTTTTATCAGGATCGTAGAAGCTCTGATATCAATAATTTGAAGAAAAAATATTTTATTTATAAACTCAAAAGCTCTGGAATGTCACTTCAAGTTCTCTCTATTTCTCTATAGATCTTTCTTTTTCTGTATATTTTTGTATATTAAAAAATTACTAGCAATATCCCTATTTATAATCATAAGAAACCAAATTAAATTAGGACTAGAAAATTTATTACTATATGAACTAGGCAGGGACAACTACTATTCATTGTGGAAAATAAAGTCTGTGGCCTTAGGCCCCCAAATATGGGAGGCCCCATTCTTTAGTTCACTAGTTAGGACTAAATCAAAATAAAATAAAATTAGAACTAGAAATTTCAATTCCAAAAGAATTAATGGATGTAAATTTGATATGACTATTCACTTTTTACCTTTTCAATAAAAAGTAGAATATTGTACTTTTTAAATTTTTTTTGCAAGTTATCATTTCTTTATCTGATTTTATATATATATATATATATATATATATATATATATATTCTTCTCTCTTCCTCTTTTCTATTCCTTCTCTTTTTCTCCTTTCTATTCTTCCATTCTCCCTTTCTCTTATTCAAAGCTTAAGAATTTTTATTTGTTCAATTGATAATTTCAACTTCAAGAGAACATAGTTTATGCATTAAATTTTGGAAAAAAAATATTAAGGCAGTCAAATTCTTTTTTGAAAAATAAGTGTTTATAGTTCTTGAAGTTGAAATGCATTAAAGTATTCATTCTAATTTCTACTTTATTTTTGTGTCTTATGTATCTTATAATTTTTATTTGATATTGTAGATAGTGTTTAAAATATTTGTTAGAATTTTAATATGTCAACTAGAAAATTTGAATCCAATCATTTTGTTTGCAACAAATTTTAAAGTGACAGAAAAATAAACTACAATCACAAATAAAATATGAAGAAACATGATTTTATTGATAAATCAATGTGCGGGTACATTCCGTTCCTCCCTTGATTCTTCCCTCTTTAGAATTTTCCGTAATTCGAGGGTTGTTAATGGCGTATTTCTCAAACTTGGATGATTTGCACTTGATCTCCATAATTCGAGGGACGTTAGTGGCGTATTTCTCGAACTAAGATGATTTAGATTTGATCTCTTTATGAATACTCCATGAATTTGTGGAATATTTGAGATCTTTATGAATATTCCATGAATTTGTGGTAGAATATTCGAGATGCATTTTCAAAAGAATATAGTACTCTTTATATAGGCATGAACTAGGGTTTATGGTTGAGTAGCCTCCAAGACTTCTAATTGAAATTGAACACGCCTTGTAGAGTCTCAACTCGAATTGAACATGTCTTGTAGAGTCCTCCCCACAAAATTTTAATGTCTACACATTCAAAACTTGAAAGAAAAAGAAAAATCGATAATTTGATAAAATCTCAAAAAGGTGCTCTTGATAAATTTTTGAAAAATAATATCAAATTAAATTTAAAAAAACATAGGGGAATGGCCTTTAGATGAACAAGTCACTTACTTAGTTGAAGTTGAGTCAGGTAATGATATAATTAAAAAAGAAGAAGGAGAGGAAATTAGTGAAAAATCAGACGTAGATTCCTAAGAAAATCAAGAGCTTCTAAATGAATTAAATAATTATACTCCTAAAAACACATAGGATTCTAGTCAATGGAATAATGTTGAATATTAAGCGATCTATTAGTAGAAAGGGACCAATTAAAATTATCAACGCATGTTTTTCAAATGATTTAACTTTTAAAGCACTTTTCTACTACACATTGTTTTTAAAAGTTGGCAAATGGAGAAAAACATGAAAGAAGATGGTTAGTTTATTCCAAAGATTTGAATAAAGTATCTTGTTTTTGTTGTAAGCTATTTAATACGCATTTTAATACTAAGAACAATAAATTAGCTAATGAAGGTGGTAGAGATTAAAAAAATATAAGTACTAAGCTTAGAACTCAAGAAACAATCAATGTTCGAGACCAAATTTAGAATTTAGATTGCATAATAATAAAACAATTGATAAAAATGTTCGAGATCAAATTAATAGAGATAGAGAACATTGAAAAACTGAATTATCAAAAATTATTTTCGTGATAAAAAATTTTGAAAAAAAATAATTTGACATTTAGGGGGAAAATGAAAAATATATCAAGAAAATAATGAAAACTTCTTAAGTCTTATTGAAATGATTGCAGAATTTGATTCAATCATGCAAGAACATATTTGATGAATCAAACATGATGAAATTCATAATTATTATCTTGGACATAATTTACAAAATGAATTAATAAATTTATTGGCAAGTGAAATTAGGGGTGTGTTTGGTATTAAGGAAAATATTTTCTTGGAAAACAAATAGATTTTTGACTTATTTTCTCATGTTTGGTTGGTGAATAAAAAATATTTTCTGGAAAAGATTTTTTTAGTGTTGGATTTATGAATGAAAAATATTTTTGAAAAAATATCTTTTATTTTAACTAGAGAGTAGAAAATGATTTTTGAATTGAAATAGAAAATATTTTTTAAAAATAAACTTAAATTTTTTTGGGGGAGGGTGGGGTGGTGGGGCTGGCCCCGAGGGGGTGGGTCAGGGTAGGGATGGGGGTGGTGGGTGAAAAAATAAAAATTTGAAATTGAAAGTATTTTTAAAAAACAAACTTTAATTTATTTTTATTTTTTTTGAGGGGGGGTTGGGGTGGCTGGGCGGGGTCGGGTGGCTGGGGTGAAAATTAAAATTTGAAATTGAAAATATTTTTTAAAAACAAACTTTAAATTATTTTTTTATGGGGGGGGGGGGGGTTTAGGGTAGGGGTGGAGTGGTGGGTGAAAAATAAAAATTTGAAATTGAAAGTATTTTTAAAAAACAAACTTTAAATTTTTTTTAAGGGAGGGGGGGGGGGGTGGATTGGGGGGTGAAAATAAAAATTTGAAACTGGAAATATTTTTAAAAACAAACTTTAATTATTATTTTTTTGGGGAGGGGGGGTAGGGTGCTGGCGGGAGGGGGGTTAAAAATAAAAAAGTTGAAGTTGAAAAATAATTTTGAAAATAAGTTTTAAATTTATTCTTTCAACAAAAATAATTATTTTTTGAACAAAAAAATTGTAATTTGAAGTTGGGGGAAAGTTTTGGAAAATGTTTACCTTAATTTTTGAAGGGAAGTCATTTTCCTTAAATTTGAGGAAAATGAGTTGATTTGGAAAACAAACCAAACACACCCTAAGAATAAAATTATTTAAGAAGTTATAAAAAAAAAAAATTGCTATCATACCTTATTGCACATCCGATACAAGTTATTAAGACCAATTATCTAATATGGAGGGTAGATATTTCGGCAACTCCAATAAATATAATCGAATATTTTTTGAGTTCTTAAAAGTGGATGATCAAGTGAAAAAGGCCTTTTGAAGTTAGTTTAGATGAAATAAAATGTGTTGGACTTGATATTATAATTTAATGAGACAAGAATACGATAACAGATCTAATATGAATGGAAAACACCAATGAGATCAAAAAACACTTCTTGACATAGAATCCTAGATCATTTTATACACCATGTTGTGACAATCCGCCATGTCATCATGTCACATAAACACCACGTAAGTGCAACATGGCACAAAATTGCCCATGTGGATGACTTACGTAGGAGAAAGACTTGTCCTTGTGGATGATTCTAGAGAAATAGAAAGATTTCTTATGGAAGTTCCTAGAGATTTTAGGATATGCATGGAAGGTACTTGGAATTTTCTTGCATTGTAGAAGATTCTAGAGAGAAGACTATTTTATAAATATCTAGGGATTGATGTAACAATTATTATTTACACTTTAGCCCCTAAGTTAATAGTATAAATAGAGGGGCATTCATTTGTTAGATCATCAAGCAAAAAACAACAAAGTTCTCTACAACACAATCTTTCCAAGCAAGTCCTCTTGTGTTCTTTCTTCCATTCTCTTAGCGATTCCTAGAATCTTAGGCTGACTTGGCATAGCAAGATCGTGAGCAAGTGATGCAAGATCGTGAGCAAGTGGTGCAAGAACGTGAGCAAATTGTCAAGTATCGCACGTGTGCTTAGTAGAAGACTAAGGACGTGACAACATGGTATCAAAGCAATATTACAACTAAGGGAATGACAAACGATGGATAAACCAACGTTGCTAACACTCAAGTCAACGTCACCTAGGATGTTGCCGGCAAGAAGGGTTATGGCAAAAAGAGGAATGCCGCCAACAAGAACCAGAAGGTGCCACTCGAGGTTGAGCCAAATGAAGGGATTACATCCCAAGAACCTTTTACCACTGAAGTGATCGAGGATGACGTGAAGGTCCTACTCAAGGACGTCTCACTCAGTAAAGAGTGGATCACGAAGGTTAATGTGGGGATGGATGTCGTCGAGATATCTGGATAATGCTTGGGGAAAGTAGAAGGCACTCTAGGCATTTTGAGGGGCATACTCTTGAAGAGATGGAAAGCATCCGAAGCGACTTGATTGGGCGTACGCAAACTGAGATAGAGATGAGGCACATCATCTCTAACTTAGAGTGCAAGCTCATAGATGCATTGAGTACTATTGATGCCATGAAGGCAAAGATAGAGGCAATCGAAGAGCAGGTCAACGTTGGAGGGACTGGGACCACCAGGAATGTTGTCGTGACGAGGGAGGCTAAAATGAGGCTCTCAAGCAACCAGTGTTCAAAGGAGTTCGTGATGCACAAGTAGTAGAGAACTTTCTTTGGCATTTGTAGAACTATTCCCGACATGGAAATGTAAGAGATGACGATGTCAAGATCAACACTGCATTGTTATACTTGATATGCTATGGTGGAGACACAAATCGACTGATATTGAGAGAGGTTTGTGCACTATTAGCACATGGGATCAGTTCAAGGTCGAGTTCAAGCGGCAATTCTTCCCAAATAATGACGTGTATGAGGTAAGAAGAAAACTTAGGGAGTTGAAGCACACATGGAGCATTCGGGACTACGTCAAGGAGTTCACGACCCTTACACTTCAAATTCCCAACTTTACCAATGATAGCTTGTTGTTCCACTTAATGAACAGGTTGCGGAATTGGACTTGGCAGGAATTGCAACACCAACGAGTCACTGATATCGATCAAGCCATAGTGGAAGCTAAGTCTTTAATAGATTTCAGGAATGAGAAGTATGACAAAGACAGAGGCAATAAGTCGAAGATGACATTACTGAAGGTGGAGAATATTGTGGAAAACTAAGGAAGTACATCAACAACACCACAAGACTCTGGATAATCACAAGTTTGATAATAAGAAGTCAATTGGTCGTCAAAGCTATACGACAAATAAAGCACAGTCCGAGAAAAAAGGTTTCTACATATGTAAGGGGCCACACAACTTCAAGGAATGTCCCGACTTGAGGAGTCTTAACGCTATGGTGTGTGAACAGAAGTAGCAAGCGCAAGGAGAGAGTTTGATCACAACTCAACTAGGAGTGATTGGACTATGTAGAGCCATCTCAAAGTCAACTAACCAAGTTAACGACAATAGAAAACAGTATGTGGATCTCATCATAAATAATATGCCCACTAGTGCACAGGTTGACACTGGAGCAACTCATAATTTTATGACTGAGGCTGCGGCCAAGAGACTAGAGTTGAAGTGTGCTCCAAACTCTCGCATCAAAACCGTCAATGTTGATCCTCAAAATGCTCATGGTGTTGCCAATGGTGTTCGTATCAAATTGGGCAATTGGAAAGGTATGACAAACTTTATCATTACAAAGATGGATATCTTTGACATTATTCTAGGGCAATATTTCTTCACACATTGTCATACCTTGATTGACCCCTATCTCTATTGTCTCTGGGTCATGAAACGAGAATGGACATGTATGGTGCCTACAATAACTATACCATACAAGTAGAATCAAGCACAACTTTTAGCTATACAACTTGTGAAGGGGATCAAGAAGGAGGGGCCAATGTTCTTGGACACCACTACAAGTTTTAAGGGAGACGAAGACAAAAAGTTATTTTTGTGTTCCACAACAATTAGAAAGGAAAATCATTGGAAGAATCGTCAGAAGAAGCTACACGAGAACGGTATGAGGACTTGTGGGTATTCAAAAATAAGATTCAAAAGTTTATGCAGAAGTAATGTGATGTGGTCGTCGCAACATCGGGTGGGGGAGAGTGTGACGACCCATCATGTTGTCATGCCACATAAACATCACGTAAGTGCCACATGGTACAAAGTTGCCCACGTGGATGACTTACGTAGGAGAAAAACTTGTCCTTGTGAATGATTCTAGAGAAATAGAGAGATTTCTTATGGAAGTTCGTAGAGTATTTAGGATTTGCATGGAAGGTAAAATTACAATCAAAAGATAAGCATATTGATGTCGCTATTGATCAATTAAATGGTCTAGGTTTTTTTAAACATATGGAGAAGAAGGATTTACAACTGCTATGATTTCAGCTAAGAAAATTGCATTAGAGATGAATTTATAACCTGAATTTCGTAAGAAATGTGTAATTTACATAAAGAAACAATTTGATGAGAATGTTGATATTGAAATCACAGAACCACTTAAAGAATCTTTTAGAGTTGATTACTTCTTATACATAGTAGATCAAGCCATCTTTTCACATCAAAATAGATTTGAACAATTTGAAACATATGAAAATATTTTTGATTTTCTATTTAGTGGGAAAATTTGAGATCATTAGATGACGAGAATTTAAAAAAAATATTGTCTTAATCTTGAATGTTCCTTAAAACGTAATAATCACTTCGATAATGACGGTTTAAACTTATTTTCTGAATTAAAAGTGTTAAGAAAAAATCATAAAAGTAGAAGATAATACTCTAATCGAAATACTCAATCAAATAAAAAAGTTTGATTCATTTTCAAATGTTTATATTGCTTATAGAATAATGTTAACAATTCCTGTAACAGTCGCCTTAGTCGAAAGAAGTTTTTCAAAATTAAAAATTAAGGCCTATCGTTTAATTTGGCCTTAGGCCACCAATGGGTTTGAGTCACCTCTGGAATTTGGACAAACAAATTTTAACAAAATATTAATTAAATAAATATTAATTAACAAATCCTAAATAACATAGGATTTCTACTCCAATTTTAAATTATTACTCCAACAGTATTATTTCAATTTTCAAATACCATTTTTTTTACTTTAAAAGTACTTTCAAATACTGACAATCTTCATTGTGGGAGGGGCCAAAATTTCTATTTTTTCTTACGTAAAGATCAAAAGGGAGTAACTCTTTCTAGAAAAAGAAAATTCAAATCTTTTTTTCATCCAAAAAAAAAAAGAAAAGATGAAAAGTGAAGACCATGAAAATCCATCACCTAAGATTGTTTTCTTTGATTCTTCAAAAGGTTCTAATGGTAGTTGATCTTTTTGCCATCTTTATTTAAGTAATGTATTGGTAATATTTGAAAAACGATACTGCAATTACTAAGATATAGACATAATTACAATTTTATTCTAATTTAAAATATTATAAGATAATCAAATAATAATTTGAGAAAAATAGTAAATAACAATTTCATTTATTGTAGAATTTTTTAATGAATGCAAAAGGTTCAATCAACATTTCTAAGAGTCTTCATGTTTTTGAAATCGTATAGATAGATAGATAGATATAGATAGATAACAATAATAAATATATGTATATCCACCAGTTTGATCTAATCTCTTTCAAGTGAAATACTAAACCAAATCAAACTAAACTGCCCTAGGACAAATAGGATGAGAAAGGTGTGCTAGAAAGGAGCATCTCAAATAAATACTTGTATATATGTATTTATATTCTTCGTCTATGAATGAACATACCATTTTCTAATTTTAACACCAATCTTACAAATTCAATGCTGATTTACTCTTATCTTGAGCTTGTGTAAAAAAAATGAATGCAAATCACAAAGACCCTACTTTGTGATGAAGAATAACCAAAACCACAAAAACAAATGAGTAATACAAAAAAACCTTCACAAACCAATCTCTTCAAAATCCAACACACTCAGCTCTTTGCTCCTAAAGCAAAAATCTGATCATGAACAAAAAATCAACCAAAAAACAAACCTGCAGAGAACATGAGAAAATTGAGTTAGTAAGTAGATTAAGCATTTCAGGCTGGAAGAGGTTTACAGTGAAAATGTATATGAATATCTTATACATAGAGGATACTTTCGAATGGGCCCTTTACAAATAAAATCAAAGTAAATGACAATCCACCTCCAGAAATGAAATAACAAAGAAAAGATGTTTCTAAAGTTGCACACAAATTATTTTGTGGCTGAAATCAAGGTCAGATGTTACACAAGCTAAAAGGAACAAAATGTGAACCATATGCAGCTGTAGAAGAGCAGAAGGTAACAATACTGATGTCAATATTATAATGAAAGCAACCAAATAAGGTTCTGCGTAGTTTCTGATGACTTTGTCACCAAATCTTGATTCTATTCACATAGAGCAAATGCACATCCTGATACGTGCATAATTACACTTCTGAATGCAAGCTATACATCCTCACTAGTCACTGATATGTGCATAATTACACTTCTGAATGCAAGCTATACATCCACACTAGTAACTTGAATAGCAGGGGGGAAAGTTTACGTGTACATGGATTATGCAACAAGCCAATCTAATTGACAGATAATTGGGCCTAAGAGACTATACTGCATTATATTAGCTACAACTCTTCTATATGAGATTATCTTTCCACAACAAAAATGTAAAAAAGCAAGTTATTTTCTCTTCCTTCACCTCCAAATGGAGTAATGGACTGAGGTTTCTCCTAAAGTCTTACCCCAAAAACCCCAGCTATTTTGTTTTGCAGAGGGGATGAAGTAGTAAACCATGTAGTTTTCTGTTTCTCGACAGAACAACAATAAGGTTTATTTCAAAAAGACGAGAAAAGTACAATCCAAAGTAGATATGACAGTTCTTCCCATCTATTTTAGCCTTGCTGAGAAGAGTTTCCTGATACCTGCTGTAGGTGGGAGGTGATAGGTATCCCGTGGAATTAGTTGAGGTGCACGCAAGCTGACCCGAACACCACAGTTACCAAAAATATTCAGATATAACAGACGCTAGCTGACAAATGTTTTGGTGAGGTTCTAACCACCCAAAACACGAGTTGCAAGACTTCCAACGAACAGTCATATGATATAGAAAAAGCAATTTTACATGGTTTGACATCTGTAAAAAAAAATAGATTTTAGACCTAACTCAACCCCAAAAACTAGTTCATGAGGGGAGGATAATCCAGGCCATATAAAGAGACCACATTCCTTAGCCGATGTGGGATACTTAAGTCAACACCTCTCCTCATGCCCAGGTTTGGACATTAGAAGCGCGACAATTTAATATAAAGAGACCAAATGATAAATCTTATGAATTGGGATGGACTTGACTCTGATACCATGATAAATGGATCATGGGTCTAACTCAACCTCAAAAGCTAGCTCTGAGAGGAGGGTTGTCCAAGTGATATAAAGAGACCAAATCCCCCATGCCTTAACCGATGTGGGAGACTCAACAGCTTCTTCAAGATAGCTCAGCTTGAGGATTAAGAAAAAGATAACCTAGACCAAAGACAATATAAAATCCTAATTTACTGGTTTAGCACTCATTTGCAGGCTACTCCAAAAACCTCTTCACTTAGCCCCCGTCTGCTACTTCAACCACACAACTGAAAATAGAATAAGATTTATCATTTGGTCCACATGTAGTGAAGTCATCAGGAGAAAATGCTTGGATCTTCATAGGCTGTGATCTTTAGATTATTATTTTTGGAGGGTGTTTGGATTATGTTGAGTCATGTCAATGGATATTAAGAGCTTGTTGAGCTGTGACAAGGACCAGAGAGTATACAGAACTCTGAAGATGCTCTGAAAGACTATTACATTATGCATTCTATGGACTGTTTGGCTAGAGATAAGCAAAAAATGCTCTAAGGTGAAAAAAATTCATGTTCCATAAGTAATGCAGTTTACAAAATTTATACTTTGTGCACCAAAGGGTGTGGTCTAGTGGTCAATGGACAGCGTTGAGAACCATTTAGAAGCTCATTACCACCTAAATGTGTACAAACGCTTGTTTGTGATCAGGATTAGCTTAGAGAAGAGACTAATCCTATTCATGCTAAAGAAAACTTGGGAGTATCATGAGCAATTTGAAATTGGTAAGGTTTTGTATCATTTTTTGTGTGCTTTAGTGCAAAATAAAATACATGTTTATGTTGTATGAAGTATTTGATTAAATTACTTTAGAGATGGCAACGAATGGAAGAGAATCTTGCATTGTTGATGTAAGATTGCAATTTGCTACTAGTGGTGAGTTCAATACTTTATTTGTTTGGTAATATCCTTTCATACTTTGTAATTTTATTCTTTCATCTTGAAAGCTATATTATAACATCTGGTTTTATCTTACTTTTTATTAGGTTCAAGTCCATGCCTCCTAAAGTTCGGTCACTGATTTGGGAACATTTTATCGTGGTTCAAGACAATGAAGACAGGCAGAAAGCAAGGTTCTTGACATGTGGTGTGATAATTATCATCCAAGAACTAATGGGACAAGTAATTTAATGAACCACATCAAGAGATGTCTTGAGCATCGTATCTATCAAGAAAGGCTGATCCGTAATAACCCTATGTATTGAATTTGGTGAATTTTAGACTTAATTTGTGATTGCTTGTGTTTGATGATGGATTTATATTTGTATTTGGTTGTTGCTAGTTTATCCCTTAGCGAAAGGCAGTTGTTAGTTGTTTGGCTGCTGCTTTATTTGCCTTAGTGACTAGTGAGGCTGCATTTTCATTTTAAGACTTGGTGTTCACTTTGGCTGACTTTTGTGCTTGCAAATTTAAGCTGCTGCAGACCTGCAGTGCTGCTGAATTTTAAGTTACTGTGGTGCTGTTAGTTGTTTGACTGGTGCGTTTGCTGAATTTTAAGCTGGCTGTTGCTAAATTTAAGCTGTTGTTTGCCTTGAGCAATTAGAATTTTTTTTTTTTTTGATAATTAGTAGTTTAGTACTGTTGTATTCTTCAGCATTAAGGAATGTTGGCCACCTCCAAAAAAATTACAGGGTAGTAAGGTTAGACTCTAAGCTTTACAGAGAGAATAAAAACACTAAACAGTTCCATTTCACATCATGTATGGACCTGATCTTGTCTTCAAAACATCTCCCATTTCTTTCTTTCCATACTGTCCCCGCCATATATATTAAAGGAATTATCCTCCACCAGTTTTTCTGACTCTTGCTACCCCCTCTTTTCATCCAGCAGCTCATCAAGTCAGCAGTATACTCAGGCATTGTCCACTCAGTATTTGTGAGGCTGAGAAATAGGTTCCACAATTGTGAAGTAAACATTAAATGTAAAAAAAGATGGTTGTTTGTCTCCCCAAGTCTCATTGCACAAAAAACATATTGTTACTACTATTCTCCCCTTCTTTTGTAGAACCTCATGTGTCAACCATGCTCTCTTCACCACAAGCCAAGTGAAGCATTTAACATTGACGGGAGCCATGCTCTTCCAGATGCTTGAGCACTCACCTTGCTCACACTATTGTCCCTCTTGTACATTTTTCACAGAGAAAATGTCATCCTTTGAAAGATGCCATCTCAGTGTATCAGATTGCATTGTGGTGCCAGCGAAATTCTCCACTTCACACAAAAAGGTTGCCACCCTATCATGCCCTTTCCTTGTAGCCTTTCCATAGGAAGTCTCTCCTCAATTTGTTTAGCTTCTTAATCACAATTGCAGGTATAGGAAATAGAGACATCACATAGGTGGGAAGCGAGTCCAACACTGAGTTGATTAGTGTGACCCTTCCTCCTAGTGAAAGATACTGAGCTTTCCACTGAGCCAACTTCTTGTTAGCTTTCTCTATAATGCTATCCCAAATCTCCACATCCTTATGTTTTTCTGCCTAAAGGCATCCCTAGGTATACTCTGTGGGCAGATTACCTACACCACACCCAAGAATGATAGCAAGGGTCTGGATGTTTGGCACTTCCATTAGCTGTTTCATTTAAATAAATACCGAGGAACCGAATTAGTTTGGTACGGTATTTGGTACACACTATTGAAAACCCGAAAACTAAAATACCAAACCGAAGTTCGAAAGAACTGAAGTACCGAATGCTCACCCTAGTCTGATTCTATGTTGAGACCTGTTCAAAATGACAGCTAGATAAACATTTTGACTGGTAAATGAAATGACTGCATGACAAATCCTCAGCCAGGCAAGAACAGTCACTCAAAAGACTTTTGATAACAATCATGATAACTAGTTCTAATTAGGTGATTATATTTTTATAATTGTGGTGTCAGACCCAGCTTGCATGCACCTTTGATAATTCCACAAGATATGGTACCAGGTAACTTTGTCCACCAAGTCTAGGACATATATGAAAAAGAATCATCACTTGTTTTTGTCTCTATTCGAATTTGGACCTGAGACCTCATGGGTCTGAGCCCACTTCATTTACCACTAAGTCACATCCTTGGATGCTAGGTGATAAATTTTAATTAAGACAGAAAAACTTTGCCATAAAATGACATTCTACTGCAATTAATATGCATCTCTGAAATATTCTGTTCTCTTTATCTTCCCTACAATTTGAATATACTTATGTTTTCTGCATAATAAATTTAAGGATGAATGCATAGAGAGCAACATAACATACCACAACTGCAATGTACTTCAACTTCCTCTCACAAAATTTAGCAATACTAGCATGCAAAAGATGAACTTATTGTAAAAAACCAAGAAAATGGAAAAGCAGACTGACCCATTGACTTGGCAACATACAGCCACACAAAATTGAGAGGTAATGACAGATATCCTTTGCTCCCATGTAATGATCAATCACAGATATTGTAACTCAAAGATTTTCCAATACAGTGTGGAGATTTGAAACACGGCGACGGAATAATGGTTCTAGCCTGAAAGCTGGCACCCCAGTCTGCCACCTATTAGTATCATACATCTCTTTCCATGCCTGCACTATCTCATCGACCTTAAAACCTGGAAAGGAACAGGTGCAAGATGGCAAGGAAATATATCACTTAATTCAGCATAAAATGTATGTAAAATAGAAAGAAAAAAATTTGTTCATATTTTACCTTCAAGAGCAGTTTCATTGGAACAGTGGTTCTTTATCATAACCGCAATATCAATTTGAGATGCTCCAGCTAGCTCAAACTTTTCCATTGCAACCTCCAAACATTCTTCCCAAGTTGGTAGTCCCAGCTTAAATTCCACCACGGAACGTTCGTAGAGCATGGTACCCCATAAGAGGTAAATCTGAGATCTCATGTTTGCAGCTTGCTCCTCAGATTCTTCGGCTGGTTTATCTTTAAGTAGACCATCCAATCCCATTTTCTGCAATAGAGCTTTATATTCATCATTTTTGGAGAGTCCATTAAGACGTTGTTCTTCCATCTCCTCCCACATTTCTGTTCCTCTTTCCATGCTATCCTCAGCCTTGTTATACAGCTCCAAGATCTCTGCACAAGTCCCCGTCTCTAACTCAACTTTGCTTCCAATCAAATAGTACCAGGAGAGTTTTGCGTGTTCAAACTGCTGCTGACCAAGTGCAAGAAGGCCTTCATAGAAATCAGGCTTGAGCCTAAGAGCCTCTCCATACCTACTTCCTGCCATTTCATATTCTTTTTCAGCCCAGTCATATGCAGATTTAACCTGTTTCAACAGAGACTCCCGAGAGCCATCTTCAGTAAAGTATACACGCTTCCTTGCTCTGGACATATGAACATTTCCCCAATTAAACAAAGACAAAGCTGCCATCTCTTGGAACTTAGCTGCAGCAATGCCAAAAAGCTCTTGTGCTTCTTCACCTGTAACAGTGTCCTCCATAGTTTCACAGTAGAGTTTCATACCTATCTCATAAAGATCCAGATATGGGTCGCAATCAAAGCCAACATGATTTTTGAACAGCCGTGCAAATTGGATGATCCAGTCTTCAACACAAGTTGTCCCTTTATTCAGTTGCCTTTCTTTCTCCAGATGCCCATCATCTGTGACTATAGTTGATTTGTAACTGCTGGAATTCATATCCTCTTCACCACTCATTCCCTCATATACAGGTTCTTTATCTGGAGTAACTTGTACAACGTAGAGTCTTAAAGAAGTCTGAGAAGCAGCAGATGATTCAACCAACCTAAGCTCATCAGTGGTGGTTATAGTAACCAAGTCACCTTCTTGATCCCTATACTTGATTAATGCACCCTTCAAGTTTGGGAATCGATCGAGAACAATGTCCCTCACAAGTCTAATACTGCAATCCACTGGTAACTGTGCCCATCTAATATCCTCCTCGAATACTAATTTGACTGTTCTTGTCACTATCTTTTCTTCCTTAACACTTCTTTTCTCCTCCACAACCACCTTGTTTTCCTCAACCTTCCTTCTGTCAAATTTGTTACTCTTCTTTTTAGATTTTACAACCTTAGTAGAAACCGGAGGCTCAACAACAACTTCCAATTCTTCAATTTTTACACCTTTCTGTTCCAACGCCCCTGCAATATCAAGCGCAGTCAAATTATTGGGTTCAATACTCAAAACAAGGTTAACATCCCTTAAAGCCAATTCAAGCCTATTCAATGATTGATAACACTTTGCTCTCTTCAACAAAGCTTTAGTATACTTCGGAGCAACTTGAAGTGCCAAGTTACATTCAGTTATTGCTCTTGGGTAATCACCAAGACCAATTTGCATATAACAAGCAGCCATATTAGTATGCAAATAAGCAACATCAATATGATTAGATGGAAGCAAATTAAGAGCCTTCTCATACTTCAACATAGACCCCTCATGATCATGCTTCTGAAAAAGCTTGTTCCCTTCTTCCTTCAATTCTTGAGACATAGTGATGAATACAGCAGTATCTTCATCAAATGCTTTAGAAGTGCCATGTTTGACATTTGCAGATATGACTTGAGTTTTCTTCTTCCCAGTAGGCTTCCCCATAGCAGCAAATCAATAAGAAAGCAAAAAAGATGTTGAAAAAGCAGTGAAGGATTGAGGAAAGTTCGGATTTGGAAAGAAAGAAAGAGAGAGGGAAAGAAAACGGCGGATGAAGAGAATGATAATGTATAAAGTTGGTTTCCCTTTCAGTAGGAATAGGGTTTACTTCCATAACTGCGTCAACGCTCACTTTCAACTACAGCGTCCTCACTTACCCATTTTCATCTTTTATCTCTCTCCATATATATATATATACCTTCCTTCATAACACTACTTACACAATTCAATTACCCATCTCGACTACCGACATCTCATTACAGGTGGATATGGTACGGTAGTTATGAGATTTATATATAATTAAAAAATTATATATCGTAATTTGGTTGTTATGATATTTGAGAAGAATGCAAAAATTAAATCGAAAAAATGTTATTGAGTTGGTATTATTAAGTTAATGAACGAGTAAATATTTTAAAAAGTCACTTAACTTTGAAAAATTATGTGCAAAGTCATTCAAATTTATTTTATATCAACAGCTGAATGACTTTTCTACATAATTTCTTAAAGTCCTTTTGAGATATTTACTCGTTGATGAATAAATGGATTTTTTTTAAAAAAAAATTGGGTTATTGGCTTGATATTGATTTTTGGGGAAAGGGTCGAAAATACCCTTAAACTATGTGAAAAAAACAAAAATGTCCTCCGTTTATAGTTTGGCTAAAGAATGTCCTCACCGTCAATAGTTTGGTTCAAAAATGCCCTTAAACTATGCGAAAGGAACAAAAATGTCATCCGTTTGTAGTTTGGTCCAAAAATACCCTTGTCGTCAATACTTTGATCCAAAAATGCTCTTATTGTTATTTAATGGGTCAAAACGCATTCTTTTTCTAATAATATTTTTTAAATTAGCAAATGTTTATCTTACTTCAATTCAGGAAAACAATGAAAATATTTCTTATTTTATTATCATTATTTTTTATCGTTATATAAATATAAATTAATGATGGATTGACTATGCTTATATATATAACATATATTATCTATCGAAAGGGTACATGAAGTTATTATATTTTAATTGATAAAAGAGAAAAGACATAAAGTCACCACTGAAGTTGTCTCGAATTTTCAAAAAGACACCTTAACTTTGCAACCGTCCAATTACCTCACTGAACAATTTTGAACTGATATTATTATATTATTTTTTGATCAACCCCTGACTTTAAGAAGCAAGTGTTATCACACACCAATCATTACATGACACATGTTAATTTAATTATATATATATATATATATATATATATATATATATATATATATATATTTCATTTTAAGTTTTTTCTTTATTTTTGCTTCTTTCTCTCTCTTACTTTTTGACTTATTTTAATTTTGATTTCATCTTGAATTCCACTTCGTCTTCAATCATACTATTTTCTAGACTTTATTGAATTATTGATAACAAAACTAATTATTTTTCTAAGAAAATTTAAAATTTTGAAGGTATCATCAATTACTCCTTTTCATATAACTTCAAAATTAGAAATCATAATTTTAAAAGAATCAATGAATTCCCCAAAAATTGAAAGAACTTGATTGAAATCAGATTAAAAAAAAACTATATGATACCTTCTAATCATCTTGAAATCTAATGGGTTTATCCTTTTTTTAAAAAAAATAATCTCTAATGGGTTTATCAAATTGTTCGAAAGGTAAGAAAATATTTGGATAAAGTTTTAAAATTAAAGAGAAAAACTAATAGTAGTAAAAAAAGGAAGGTGAAGTTGTGGTAAAAATGGTGAGTGGTGACATTGAAAGTGAGAAGGTTCAATGGAGATGACAATGAATTTTTGAAGAAGAAAGAAACAGAAAAAATGGAAAAAAGTTAAATTAATAAGAAAATATATTTTATAATAATATACTTGTAAAATAAAATTATATTAGTTATTTTAGGTTGCTCACTCTCTTTGAGAGAGTGCACACACTCTTTATGTCAGGTGGACAAAAAATGATGTGATAATATCAGTTCAAGATTGTTTAGTGCGGTAATAGGACGCCCCATAGTTAAGGTGTCTTCTTGAAAATTCGGGACAAGTTCAGGTGTTACTTTATGCCTTTTCTCTTGATAAAATGAGATTAAGAGGAAAAAAAAATATTTCCTACATTTTTATTTGTTAAAGTGATTTTAGAAGAAAGAAACAAAATAATGTTCTTTAATAATATTTTAATTAGGAAGAAGATGTGTTTAAAAAGAAAAAATAATATATTTATTCGGAAAAGGGCATTTTTGACCCATTTTGTAACTATAGAGGCATTTCTGGACCAAAGTATTGATTGCAAGGACATTTTTGAACCAAAGTATTGACGGTAAGGGCATATTTGAGCCAAACTATAAACGGAGGACATTTTTGTTCCTTTAACATAGTTTAAGGGAATTTTTTACCCTTTTCCCTTGATTTTTTAATATTAGGTTACTGGATAAACTGATATCCCATTAAGACAATAGTCGTTTACTAAAATATCAATATTAACACTTTATTAGTTACTATATTTGCCCTTTAACCTTCAATTCACATATTATCTATGTTGCTCTTGAACAGTTCTTTATATGTTAGTTATTATTACTTCTATTTTATGAGCATTCTGTAAAGTTACATTATTGTTTTGTCACGCCAAATTATTGGAGAAGTCATATAATTATTTTATGAGCATTTTCTTATTGGCTAAACAATACTATTAAGGATTAAAAATTGATAAAAATATCTTATTGATTTGGTTATTGGTTTAGCATACTTAAAAATAAAAAAATGATCAACCGAACCGATCAATGCACACCTCTAATTTGATATGCATTTAGAAAAAAATAGTATTTAGTATGATATTTGGTATTTATAAAAATATATATAGAATATCATACCGAAATATAAATTTACATATTAAATTCATATATATATATATATATATATATATATATATATATATATATATATTAGCAAATAAATAAAATAGTAATGTAAGACCTTTGGTAATTTGAAGTTGGATTGGAAAGGAAAAAATTGCATTTTGGCACTGAGGCAGTAGGTCTACGAGTCCTACCTACGGACCGTAGGAAAGCACTCGTAGGGCTTGGGTGAATTTCCCGATAATGTTCAGTCTTTGATGTTTGACTTACGAATGAATAGGACTAATTGTAGGGTTTCTATGGCGCATAAGGAGGTATCCGTATAAGTGATCCAAACTTAGTGAAATTTTGGTCTTAAACTTGAGATCTACGAACCGTAGAATGGTCGACGGTCTGTAGGAATGACTCATAGGAATTGTTCAGAATGTTGAGCCCAGTAATAGGTTCCACGGTTGACCAAGATTGTCCGAAGAAAGTCTTAGGAACCGTAGATCAAAGCCGTAGACCTTGTCCAACAATTTTTAATTTAGGATGTTTTGGTCTTTTCCTACCCAATCAATCCCTAAACTACGCCATTTTGTCCCTATAACTACCCTATAAATGTTTTTACTCCTAAGACTAAGCCTAAATTCTCCCATTCACTCAAACTCTTAAACTCCCTCAAGTCTTCTTCTCCAAATTCTCTCAAGAGCTCTCAAGGTGGAAGTTAGGGTTTCAAGCTTCAAGGTCTCATTCTCCTTGCATTCTTAGGGCTTTGATTATCAAGATATGTGGGAATTCATCGATAGATCTCTTTCATCCATTGGGTCTTAAAAGAATCTCAATCTCCTAAATTGATTTTACTCAATTCCATTAGGGTTTTATGCAAATCTCTATGGGTTCTATTTATTATGATTAAATTGTTTATATTCAATCTTATTATGCATCATTTGATTAAATTACATGATTTTCAATTGTTTTCATATGGACTCATGCTTATGACTACTTTATGAACATGAATTATGAACAATGTTTATGAACTTATGAATTATGGTCATGAATTTGATTAAGGATTTATGCATGGTTTATGAAAAGAATGATTTATGACTAAATGATACTTCTAAGTTAAGCGTCAAAGTTTTGTGAAAGGCTTTCTCACAATTGAAAGGAATCATCATTTAGATACTTAGAAAGGTAAGTGTCTATTATGAAAGTTTTATGAAATCATGATTTGAAAGGAGCTACTCTATGATGACTTATGATTGGATTGGTAGTCTTTAAGTATTGTCTTTTCAAGTTTTATGATATGATTATTTTTATTTCGTTGGAATTTTACTTAGCACCGAGAGGACTTTGAGATGGAGGTTTTACTGTTAGTAGAGATTTCTTCTTTAGTAACAATCTCTTTATCCCAAATTACATGCCCTCGTAGAATTGGTTGACTTAGATAGTGGGTCCACCTAAGCTATTTGATATGGTCCTTACATTGGCAAGTAGGACAACCTCTTTTCGGTGTGGGGAAGACACCAGATTTCATGTTATAGCTCACATGGTCTATATCGGTTAAATGGTAAATATCCCACAAATGAACTATGTATTTTTCAAAAGATTTATAAAAGTTTTCCTTATGATTTCAAGTATGCATTGACCTTGTTTATGCTTTATGGTTTATCATTAAAGACTCTTACTACGTTTTACTTAGTCATGCATATCATGTTTTAAGTTCCTCATATTATCATGTCTATGCTTTATGCAGTTCTCTATACTTAGTACATTCATCATACTAATGCATATGTGTGCTTATATTGAATATAGGGTTCGACGCTCTACCTCCCGGACATGCTTAGATCGGGATTGCCAGCTTTGATTGCTTGGATTTGTGACTTCTCATGATTTGAGGGTAAAATCATGACTACTTTTATTGCTTTTATGGTCTTCTTTGTTTCAGACTTGTACGTGGTGATTGATCAACTACAAGGTGCGAGTTACTTCTCTAAGATCGACCTCTAGTCAGGTTATCACCAATTGAGGGTGAAGGAAGATGACAGTCCAAAGACGGTTTTTCGAACTTTGTATGGTCATTATGAGTTTTTGATAATGTCATTTGGTTTGACTAATGCTCTGACCGCATTTATGGATTTGATGAATATAGTGTTTAGACAATATCTTGACATGTCTGTGATTGTGTTTATCGACGATATTATGATTTACTCAAGGAGTGAGGATGAGCACACCGATCATTTGAGGATTGTGTTGCAACTCCTCAAGGACCAATAACTCTTTGCAAAGTTTAGTAAATGCGAGTTTTGGTTGAGATCCATGGCGTT